TACACACTTGCTACCGAGCCTCCTCAGGTAGCTGCGTCTGTCCAGGTGTTCACGTCAGGTCTGGTAGCACCCCCCTGCTCGTGTCGCCTCCTGTTGCACCAGACTCTCCTGTGGCACCACCGCCTTGGTCACCCCTCCCTGCCACGCCTTCGTGGCATGCACTCCCGCGTCCTTGTTTCTGGTCTTCCCATGTCTCTGCCTCCCCTCCCGCCCTCGCCTGCCCCGCCCTGCCTTCCTTGCATCGAGGGGCGGCAGCGCGCCGCTCCTCACTCCTCCTCGTTTCCCCCGACAACTTCTCCCCTCCAGACTTGCCACATGGACGTGTGGGGCCCAGCCCGCGTTAGTGGACAGGGCCACGAGCGCTACTTTCTTGTGGTTGTTGACGACTACACGCGCTACACCACGGTCTTCCCCTTGCACACCAAGGGTGAGGTCCCTAATGTCTTGATCCCTTGGATCCGCGCAGTCCGTCTCTAGCTCCGCGAGCGGTTCTACGAGGACCTTACTGTCCTGCGTCTGCAATCTGACAGAGGTGGTGTGTTCTCCTCCGACCTCTTGCGGGACTTTTGTCGTGGGGAAGGCATTCTCCAGTCGTTCACGCTTCCGGCCTCCCCGCAGCAAAATGGGATTGCTGAGTGCCACATTGGCTTAGTCATGGAGGTGGCTCGTACCTCCATGTTCCATGCGGCTGCTCCCCATATTCTGTGGCCGTTTGCGATCCGGTACGCTGCGCATCAGCTCAACCTCTGGCCTCGTGTCTCCTTGCTGGAGACCTCGCCTACACTGCGTTGGACGGGGAAGGTTGGCGATGCGTCGGTGTTCCGGGTCTGGGGCTCTCGTGCCTTTGTTCGCGATACGTCCACGGACAAGCTCTCCGCCCGCGCTATTCCCTGCGTCTTCCTTGGCTTTCCCCCTAACGTGCCTGGCTGGCAGTTTTACCACCCCACCTCGCGTCGTGTCCTCCCCGCTCAGGACGTCACGTTTGACGAGTCGGTTCCCTTTTACACTCTCTTCCCCTACCGCTCTGCCCCTCTCCCACCCCCGCCGCTCTTCCTCGCTCCAGGTACCCCTCCGGTAGACCCCCTCCCCCCTCAGGATCCTGCTCCCTCAAGTGTGTCTCAGGTAGACCCACTCCCCGGGACTGTGCCTGTTGAGGTCGTTGTAGACTCAGGTGCTGCTAGAGGACCTGCGTCTGGGGGTGCTGAGCCTGTGTGTGCGATGCCTGGGGGTGCTGAGCCTGCGGGTGCGGAGCCTGGGGTTGCTGAGTCTGAGGGTGTGGGGTCTTGGGGTGCTGAGCCTGGGGGTGCGGAGCCTAGGGGTACTGAGTGTGCGGGTGCGGAGCCTGGGGGCGCTGAGCCTGCGGGTGCGGAGTCTGAGGGTGCGGAGTCTGGGGGTGCTGAGCCTAGGGGTACTGCTTCTTCTGGAGGTCTTGCGGGTGCCTCGCCACGACTGTCTCCCCGGCCGGAGCCTCTCTCCCCGCAGTAGCTGCGCGAGGTGTTCGCTCAGCGCACACGCCTTCGGAGTGGAGCTGCCGGAGCTGGAGGCTCTGCCGCTGGAGGCACTGGAGATGGAGGTGCTGGAGCTGCTGGTCCTGGAGGCTCCCCACTGCATGCTCCTTCTCCTTACACTGAGCAGACAGACTCTTTTACAGAGCGTCGTGAGCCTGAGTCTCGTCCTGCCTCGCCTGTTCGCACTGTTCGCACAGGTCGTCGGGTTCCTCGTCCGCATCCTCCTCCTGTCCCCGGCATTCACATTATGGCACTTCGTCCTTCCTCTGTTCCACTGCGAGTTCCTCTGCTGCCTCCTCTTGAGTCCTCTCTTCATGCCGTTCCTGACCCTGAGTCTACCCTAGCTCGTGCTGCCAGTCCCACTGTCTCTCGTCTTCTCGCCAATGTTGTCACTAACCCTTCTTTTGAGTCCACTGCTGCATCTGCCCTAGTTGCTCAGCTTGTTGACTTTGCTGAGTCTAATTCTGACTGTCCTCCGTCCGTTGGGGTTGGGTGTGCACTTGGCACGGACGTCCTTGAGGACATGCAAGAGGACTTTGAGTGCCTTGCAGCTGCTGTACTTTCAGAGGTCAACTGGTGATCCCCGATTGATCCTTGGGAAGGGTTACAGGCTCATTGTCCTGGCGGGGTTATGGGCGCACTGACCCACTACTTAACAAGCCATTTTATCCCAATGGGCTAGTGGTTGGGATTCTGACATGTACCTCATCTCGTTGCCATGCTGCTTGCCCCTGAGGGAGACCCGGATGCACCAGACATCCCGACCCCGCGCTCTTACGCAGAGGCGATTACGGGTCCCTACTCCTCTCAGTGGCAGACAGCCATGGATGCAGAGATGGCATCCTGGAAGTCCATAGGCACCTACGTCGACGCAGTTCCCCCTTCTGGGGAAAACATAGTCGATGGCATGTGGATTTTCAGGGTGAAGCGGCCGCCTGGTTCTCCGCCTGCCTTCAAGGCTCGTTACGTTGCACGAGGCTTCAGTCAGCGATAGGGAGTTGACTTCTTCCAGACCTTCTCCCCTACCCCAAAGATGACCACTCTTTGGGTTCTGCTGCACGTCGTCGCTCAGCGTGACTACGAGTTGCACTCTCTTGACTTCAGCACAGCTTTCCTGCAGGGAAACCTGCACGAGGAGATCTGGCTGCGCCGCCCACCTGGCTTCACTGGGTCGTTTCCTGCAGGTACCCAGTAGAGCCTCCGGCGGCTAGTCTACGGTCTCTGCCAGGCGCCTCGCGAGTGGCACGAAACACTGAGGACGACACTTGCGGCTCTTGGATTTGCTCCTTCGACTGCTGACCCGTCGCTGTTTCTGCGCACCGAAACTTCGCTGCCGCCGTTCTACGTCCTAGTGTACGTCGACGACTTGGTCTTTGCGACTGCTAACACTGAGGCACTGGCCCTTGTGAAGTCGGAGCTGCAGAAGAGACACACCTTCACTGACCTGGGTGATCTGCGCAACTATCTTGGCTTGCAGATCACCCGGGACAGAGCACGGCGCACCATCACCCTGACTCAGTCACACATGGTGCACTAGGTCCTTCAGCGCTTCGGCTTCCGGTACTCCTCGCCACAGTCCACTCCTCTGCCTACCGGTCACTCGTTCTCATCTCCACCTTCGGACGAGTCCGTAGAGCCGAGGGGCCCTTATCCAGAGCTTGTGGGCAGCCTCATGTACCTGATGGCCTGCACTCGACCTTACCTTGCCTACCCTCTTAGCATCCTGGCGCGCTACGTTGTGCCCGGGAGACACCGACCAGAGCATTGGGAGGCCTCTAAGAGGGTGTTGTGCTACTTGTGCAGTACGTCGGGCATGGGGCTTGTGCTTGGAGGACGGGGTCCAGTTGTCATCACTGGACACGCAGACGCTTCTTGGGTTGACGACTTGGCTACGCAGCGGTCGTCACAGGGTTACACTTTCAGCCTTGGCTCCGGCTCTGTTTCTTGGCGGTCTACGCGCTCGTCTTCTGTTCTCAGTTCCAGTTGTGAGGCTGAGATCTACGCAGGGGCCATGGCTGCACAGGAGTTACGCTGGCTCACCTACCTGCTGACCGACTTGGGAGAGCGGCCTCGTTCTTCTCCAGTTCTGTACGTAGACAACAAGGCCATGATTGCCTTGTGTCAGGAGCACAGACTAGAGCACAGGACGAAGCACATCGCTCTGCGTTACTTCCTTGGTCGAGAGTTGCAGCAGCGTGATCAGCTTTGTCTTGCTTACGTGGCCACTAGGGCAAACACTGCTGATATATTCATTAAGGCACTTCAGTCTGGTGATCATCAGCGTTTGTGTATTGTTTTAGGCCTTGTGCCTACTTTACCTCATTTGCTCACTGCGTGAGTTTGCTTGTACTGTGATTTATATATATACCTGCATGCTTACACTTGCTAGGGTATGATCACTGTACTGTTTGTTCTCTTTTATATAACTCTGCATGTGGACTGGCCTTTTGGTCTTTGCTTGTGCTCGGAATGTGTGGTGACTTCGTGATCCACCTTGAGCTTGCTTTGCTTTTCTTGACTTGTCTTGTGACCACTTGTTCTCCCCCACTTTGCCTATGGGGGTGTGTCAAAATGTTATATTGCTAACTTTGTGTAGGCTATAGTGGGGTAGCCCATAATGTCAAGAAAGGAACTAATGATGTCATTGATGTGAGTTGGGGTACATATAACAAACCCTAACTTCTGTACCCCCTAAGACAAACCTCACTAAGGCTACAACATTCGACACACCCCCATAGCCTAAGTGAGGGGTGTCTAGCAAAACCAAAAGTGTACGGTCACAAGACCAGTCACAAAGATACAAAGCTCAGGGTGGATCACAACGTCACCACACATTCTGAGCACAAGCAACAGTGGCCACAAGGCCAGTCAAAGAGTTCACAAGTGTGTATAGCAAGAGTACAAGCAAAGCAAACAGTAAACTCAAGCCTATACACGACTAGAACCTGTGTCAACAAGGCCTAACTTCACACAACACCTCTGGTGGTCACAAGGCGGAAGCGCCTTGGTGAAGATGTCTGCAGTGTTGGCCTCGGACTCCACAAACTGAAAGCGAGCCTGTCCACGTCTCTGCAACTCTCGCAGAAGGAAGTACCTGACGTGAATATGCTTCACTCTGCTCTCCAGTCGTGGCTCACGACAGAGGAGAATCGACGCCTTGTTGTTAGTGAACAAGGTCGGTGCAGAGCTCGGCCGCTCACCAAGGTCAGCGAGCAAAAACGTCAACCAACGCAGCTCCTGTGCCGCCATGGCACCAGCGTAGATCTCAGCCTCAGCTGTAGAGGTCGAGACCGAAGAGGAGCGCGTGGACCGCCAGGAAACAGCTCCAGAACCCAAGCTGAAACAGTACCCCTGAGTAGACATGTGAGTCCTATCGTCGTCAGCGTAAGAAGAGTCACAGTGACCAGTAAGTACGACAGGCTGCTGCCCTCAAAGAACTAGCCCCACGCCTGATGTCGTCGCTAGGTACTTCGCCACCCTCACAGCTGCCGTTCAGTGAACAGGACGGTGCCTCCCTGGCGCAACAAAGCGAGCAAGGACGCTGAGAGGGAAGGCGAGGTCCGGACGAGTACAAGTCATCAGGTACATGAGGCAGCCCACTAACTCTGCATAGGGACCACTGGACTCAAACGGCTCGTCAGGAAAGGGTCCAGTGAGTCTGTGGTCAATAGCAAGAGGTGTGCGCTGTACTGTGGAGTGCTGAAGCTCGAACCGCTGAAGGACCTGCTGCACCATGTGTGACTGTGAGAGTGTAATGGTGCGAGCAACTCTGTCCCTGGTGATCTGCAGGCCAAGGTAGTGACGCAGCTCACCAAGGTCAGTGCAAGTGTGTCTCTTCTGCAGTTTGGACTTCACGTCTGCCAAGGCAACCCTGTCAGCAGTGGCGAAAACCAGGTCGTCGACGTAGACTAGAACAAAGAACGATGTAGAGCCACGACGAACGAACAGTGACGGGTCGGCAGACGACGTCTGAAAACCAAGGTCAGCGAGAGTAGAACGAAGGGTGTCGTGCCACTCACGGGGAGCCTGACGGAGACCGTAGACCGGTCGCCTCAGCCTCCACTGGGTCCCAGGAGGGAAAGTGCTAGTGAAGGCAGAGGGACGACGCAGCCAGACCTCCTCGTGTAGGCTACCTTGAAGAAACGCAGTAGAGAAGTCGAGAGAGTGTAACTCGTAGTCTCTCTGTGCCGCTACGTGCAGTAACACCCGAAGAGTGGTCATCTTTGGGGTGGGCGCGAAGGTCTGAAAGAAGTCAACTCCCTCGCGCAGACTTAAACCTCTAGCCACGTAGCGCCCCTTGAAGACCGGAGGAGATCCCGGTGGCCGCTTCACCCTGTAGATCCACATGCCATCGACTACGTTCGCCCCAGGGGAGGGAACCTCGTCGACGTAGGTGCCTGTGGATCTGTAGGAGGCCATCTCTGCGTCCATGGCAGCTCTCCACTGAGAGGCCCAAGGCCCTGACACTGCCTCAGCGTAAGTGCGAGGAGTCGGTATGTCAAGGGCGTCGGGGTCTCCCGCAGGGGCGAGCACCATGGCACAGAGATGAGGGGAAGCGGCTGCCAGGAACTCTAGCTCAAACTGCCTGTCCTCTAGGGCGTCACAGCCAAGGGCAGACACACCCCCGACGGCCAGAGGACTGGAAGGAGGAGCAGCCACAAGACTAGTGGCGAAGTCAAGGCGGCGAGTAGAGGCAAACTCAGTGACTGCGGCAGTAAGAGCGGAGACAGAGGACACAGAGGCACGAGGGTGGGTAACAAGAGAGGCGAGAACACGAGAGAGAACAGGACGGTACGTGCGGTAGTAGTCAGTGACAGGAGTAGAAAGCGAAGCAGTGAGGGCCGACTCAGGAGGAGACGGAAGCACAGACGGAGACGGACGAGGCGGACTAGAACGAAGTAAGGCAGTACGAAGGTCAGTGACGGGAACAGGGGACGAGGGACGAGCACGAGGGGAGCGACGAGAGGCCCAGGTCTGAGAAGGAGGAGGGGACAACGAAGACTGAGAACAAGGGAAAACAGCTGGAGAGGGGTCAGGAGGAGGAAGCGGAGGACCCGAGACGGGAGGAGAGGGGGAGGAGGAAGGAGAGCGGGAGGGGAGACCGAGGGCCCGAAGACCGGAGACAGGAGGAGGAGGCGGCGGCGGCTGCTGCTGCTGCTGCTGCGGCGGCTGCTGCTGCTCCTCCTGCTGCTGTAGCGGCTCCAGCTCCTGCGCCTCCTGCTGCTGCGGCGGCTCCAGCCGCGGCTGCTGCAGCTGCTCCTGCTGCTGCTGCTGCTGCTCCTCCAGGCGCTGCAACTCTCTCTCCTCTCTCTCCAACTCCAGCTGCTCCTCACGGGCACGACGAACACGAGGCCTGGTGCCGGGTCGGGTAGGGGTGGGGGGGAGGAGTAGTGTCGGGGGCTGCGGCAGTCCCGGTGCCGCCCTCCAAAGCACCTGGCGCACCACCCCCAGAGTCAGCACCACCAACAGAAACACGACCAGGCTCACCAGGACCCGAAGAGGGTGCACCCGCACCCCCAGACGTAGCACCCCCAAAGTCAGCAGGACCAGCACCAGCTCCCAGAAGACAAGAGTCTCCTGCAACCACAGGCTCAGCTCCAACTCCAGCACCCCCAGAGCTAGCACCTGTAGGGCCCTCTCCACGAGCACCGGCTCCCACAGGGTCTGCAGCAGGCTGTGAGGAGGACTGCGGGGAAGGAGGCTGCACCTGAGGGGCGACCGAGGGGGGAGGGGTAGCCTGGGACACACCTGACGGGGCGGGACCAGGGGGGGGAGGCTGTACTGGGGGAGCAGGAGGGGGAGCGGAAGTCAGGAAGAGAGGGGGAGGAGGAACCGGGAGACCTCGACTGGGGTACCTGACGTAGTAGGGGGTGGACTCCTCGAAACGGACGTCACAGGAGTCAAAGAACCGGTGAGAGGGAGGGTGGTAAAAGGTGAAGTCAGAGGAGTCCTCAGGGAAACCAAGGAAGACACAGGGAACGGCGCGAGGCGAGAGCTTGTCCGCGGAAGTGTCGCGGACAAGAGCCAAGCAACCCCAGACACGAAACCTCGACACAACACCAGGGGACCCGGTCCAAAGACTGGTCGGTGAAGCCTCTGGCCGAGAGACGCGTGGCCAGAGGTTCAGCTGGTGAGCGGCGTACCTAACCGCGTAGGGCCACCGAAAATGGGGGGCACGGGCGTGAGTCAAGGAGGTGCGGGCGATCTCCATGACTAAGCCTATGCGGCGCTCAGCAACCCCATTCTGCTGTGGGGACTCTGGAAGCGTCCAGGACTGACGAATGCCCTGCTCGCGACAGAATCCAGCGAGAATGCCGGAGCGAAACTCACCCCCACGGTCAGAGTGAAGACAGCTGACATGACGACCACGAGTGCCCTCAGTGGTAAGCAACCACCTGATCAGCGTAGAAGTCACCTCAGACTTCTTTGCCAGGGGGAACACAGTGGTGTAGTGGGAGTAGTCGTCAACGACCACCAAAAAGAAACGCTCGCGCTCAAGGCCAAGGCGAGGGGCGGGGCCCCAGACGTCCAAGTGGAGCGTCTCAAAAGGCTCGGTGGCCGGACGAAGGGAGGAGGAGTGAGGGGTGGCGCGCAGCCGACCCTCGACGCAGGGACCGCACGGCGGTGCAAGCAAAGGCGGCAGCGACGGCAAGACACGCGGGAGGCCTAAGACAAGACGCTGACGAGACATAGCGCGCAGACGAGGGAGGGACGGGTGCCCCGTCCGGTGGTGCCATAGAACGGTGGGGTGTGCAAGCGACCGGCAGGAGCACGACGCAGCAACTGGACCAGACAAGGGGACCTGACCAAACACAGCTACCTGGGGGGACGCAGCAACCTGGTGAGACGCAGGGACCAGACTGGGGGAAGGAACCGGGGCCGGGGGCAGGAGTCGCTGCTGCTGCTGCTGCCGCTGCTGCTGCTGCCGCTGTACACCAGGGTCAGTGTGAAGTGTGTAGAGACCTGAGCCCGGCTCCGTCGTAAAGGTGGCAAGAGGCGCGTAAGTGTCGCCGTCAACACAAACCGCCGTCTCACCAGAGGGCTCAATCCACACACCCACGTGCTGACTCACAAGAGGCCTCACGCCCACCAAGTTCCTCGAGAACGAGGGGACATGGAAGCCAGTCAGAGACCCAGAGGGAACAGCAGGGCACGGAAGAGTAGTAGTGTAGCGAGCAGTGACTGGTCCCGAGGTGGGATCAGCCAGTGCCACAGAGACTGGCGCAAGAAGCGGAGTAAGTGTCGTGTGGTCCCTGAAGAAGCAGTGCGAAGCCCCAGAGTCCAAAGTGAAAGACAGTGAAGCGTCCTCGGAACGAGCTCCTGGACTAGTGTCTACACAGGTGCCTACACTAGCAAGAGGCAACTCAGCAAGACAAGCACCTAAGCTAGCAACACTCGAGTAAACAGAGTCAGAAGCACTAGAGTCAACAACAGCATAAATAGCATGAGGAGTTCCTAAGAGATCAAGCAACTGAGAAGTTGACATGCCCCAAAGGGCAGGGCCGTACGTCTGAACAAGAGGAAACCAGTCAGGGGCAGGGCCTCCAACGCCGTAGGCCAAGCGAACCGTGTCAGTGAGCTGAGCAAAGCACTGACCAGGAGGGTGGGTGCGACCACAAGGCTGACCTCGGCGAGCACCTGTCAAAAGCTGATAGGTGCACGAAGGGTGAACAGCACCTCGCTGAGGCTGACGCTGTGCTGGCCCCAAAACCTGCTGCTGCCGCTGGGCCAGGTACCACGCCGCTGCTCCACCCGCCACGGCCGGCAGACCAGAAGGTGGCTGACGAGCCCAGGCGTCGCCTCCACCAGCTGCAGTAGCAGGGTCATCGGCCGCTGCACGAGAGGTCTCTCCAGGCCCTGCACTCCCGCCACCCCCGCCACCTCCGCCGGCAACGCCTCCACCGCCGCCGCCGCCTGTACCCTGACCGCCCCTCTTGCCACCCCTACCCCGAGAACGCGACGAAGTCGTAACAGCAGCAGCGGTCACGTCAGTGGTGGCAGTGGCTAGGGAGGCAGTAAAGGTGGGCAGCTGAGGTACAGTGCACCCGTGAAACAGTGGAGGGGGCACAGCACCAGAGGCGGAGGCTACTGAGCGGAGGTTGCTCTCGACGTCCTTGAGCGCAGACTCTAGGACCTCGATAGTGAGCTCACTAGGGTGCTTCAGGAGAAGCGCGTCACGAACCGAGGCAAGGCGGTCAGGGAGGCTAGTGGCGATGAAGTAGATAGTAATCGCCATGGGGGGAGGGAGCAGTGCAAGCTGTGCGTCAGTGCAAGTAGCGCGGTAGCTAGAATCGAGCGAGCGGAGGTGAGCAATCAAGTCAGCAGAGCGCTCAAACGAAGCAAGGTCTGGGAACAAGAACGGTAGGAAGAGGCGGCCAAGAGAGACAGTGGTGGGAGTAGCGTAGCGGGCCTTGATCGCAGTCAGGAACTCACTAGCAGTGCGAACCTGAGTGAAGTGGGCCTCCTCAGACTCAGGGAGGAGGCTGCTAAGAGCGATGCAGGCCGCAGCGTCACGCGACTTCCACGCCGTCAGGTCAGCACGCTGGCTGGCAAAGCGGGCTCTAGCAGCGTCGTCAGGGGCAGAGCCTAGAGGGGTAGGGTCGTCGGGCGCAGGAAGGTCACCAGTAGCGTGCACCCAGAGGGACTCACCCGACTGGACCTAACTCTCTAAAAGGCGACGCGCGCGCAGGAGTCAGACCGAGAATTCGAGGGGTCGACCGTCAGCGTCAAAACGGAGAACTCTAGGAGTCGCCATAGTGGAAGTACGAGCGAAAGGACGCGTAGTAGAGCAGAGGGAGGGCTCACGGCAGGCCTAAAAAGCAGGCGCAGCGGCGGAGAAAACGAGCAGACGTGGCAGCACGAGCAAGCAGGCACGTGTGCAGACAGAGACAAGACAGCACAGCGGGCGAAGAGCGGGCGTGCTTAGAAACGGGCGCAGCGAGTACTCAGGCGCAGGGCGCAGGGCGCGGGGAGGCGCGGGCGCAGGGCGCAGGGCGCGGGGAGGCAAGGGGCGCAGGGCGCAGGGCACGAGAAGGCGCGGGTGCAGGGCGCAGGGCGTAGGGAGGCGACGGGCGACGGGCGCAGGGCGTAGGGCGCGGGGAGGCGCGGGTGCAGCGGGCGCGCGGGCGTAGTGACGACGCGGCGGGCGCGTTGGGCGAGGGTAGGGACGCGACGGCGGGCAGGCGCGACGCGACGGGCGTTTAGGTCAGCGGGGGGAGGGCGCGTCGCGACGAGCAGCGGGGGAGGGCACGACGGGACGACGGGCGGGGAGAGCGCGACGCGACGGGGGCAGGGGAAGGCACGATTCGACGGGCAGCGGGGGGTAAAAACGCGACTCGACGGGCAGCAGGGGGAAATGTCAAACATTAATCACATAGCCTGTCTATGCTGTAGTGGGGTAGACACTATGGGGTACAGTTTCCTAGGGTTTCATATTTGTACCCAACTCATTTCCTAGTCAATCATTCATTCCTGTATTTCACATGGTATAGAGCGGGTTCCCTAGTGGGAACATTCCTTCCTAAGGGCCCACCGTTGAATTTTTTTTTTCCTAACCTGCCCGAAGCGCGCTTCGCGCTCTTCCCTGCCCCACCCTTTCGCGGCCCCTTAGCGGCCTGCCCTGCCCTTTGCGGCCCCTACCCGGCCCCTACGCGGCCCCTTAGCGGCCCCCTTAGCGGCCCCTTCGCGGCCCCCTTAGCGGCTCCTTCGCGGCCCCGTCGCGGCCCCGTAGCGGCCCAGTAGCGGCCCCGTTGCGGCCCTGCCACGTCGCCTGTCGCGGCCCTGTCGCGGCCCCGTCGCGACCCCGTCACGGCCCCACCCCAGCCCTGTCCCGTCGCCTATCGCGGCCCCGTCGCGGCCCCGTCGCGGCCCTGCCCCGCCCCTGCCTCATCGCCTGTCGCGGCCCCGTCACGGCCTCGCCCCGGCCTCGCCCCGGACCTGCCCCGTCGCCCGTCGCGGCCCTGTCGCGGCCCCACCCTGGCCCTGCCCTGTCGCCTGTTGCCGCCCCGTCGCGGCCCCGTCGCGGCCCTGCCCCAGCCCTGCCCCGTCGCCAGTCGCGGCCCCGCCCCGGCCCTGCCACGTCGCCAGTTGCGGCCCCGTCGCGGCCCCGCCCCGGCCCTGCCCCGTAGCCAGTCGCGGCCCCGCCCCGGCTCTGCCCCGTCGCCAGTCGCGGCCCCGTCGCGGCCTCCCACCTGCAGCAGCTGAGTTGCGGCCCTGACCCTACCGGAGCACCACAGCCCTGCCCCACCAGTCGCAGCCGCCTACTCAACCGCCCCTGGTAAGAGCACTGCCGAGCCGCGCTGCCCTGCCTAGCCGCGCCGCTTAGCCGAGTCGCACTGCTGCTGCTGCTGCTAGCCTACTGCTGCTACTACCATGGCTAGTCCCACTGTTCTTACCTTCGATGCTGAGGGTCGAGCGGTCGACTTTGAGGACTGGATAGATGATCTGCAGCTTTTCCTACAGTGCGATAGCAAGGATGGTCTCTCACTGTTCGATCTCACGTCTGGCGCCTCTACTGCCCCTGCTGCTGATGCTGACAGTACTGTTCGCTCGCAGTGGACCACGCGCGATGCTGCTGCCCGCCTTGCTGTGCGTAGTCACCTGCCGTCTACTGAGCGCGCGCACTTTAGTCAGTACAAGAGTGCTAAGACTCTGTACGACGCTGTAGTTGCACGCTACTCTTCCCCTGCCACTGCTGCCCTTAGCCGCCTCATGCTACCGTACCTGTTCCCTGACCTCGCCGCTTTTGCCACAGTCGCTGACCTCATTATGCACCTCCGCACTAGTGACACCCGCTACCGCGCTGCGCTTCCTGCTGAGTTCTACGCCAAGAACCCCCCCCCCCATGTACATCACCCTCTACTACCTAGTCACCCGACTCCCTGACACCCTTCGCTCGGTCAGGGACCACTTCCTCTCTCTTTGCCCCACCACACTCACCGTTGACCTCCTCGAGGAGCGCCTCCTTGCAGCAGAGACCAGTATTACCGCTGTAGGAGCCTCTCGTGGTGACCCCCGTGTGAGAATGATAGACGAAAGAATGAATGAACTAGAAATGAGATGGGTACATATAGGAAACACATAAGTGTTGTACCCACTAAGAGCTACCCCACTACAGCCTAAATAGACCATAGCAGATATAAGTTTGACACACCCCCATAGGCAAAGTGGGGGAGAACAAGAGGTCACAAGACCAGTCAAGAAAAGCAAAGCAAGCTCAGGGTGGATCACAAAGTCACCACACAGTCTGAGCACAAGCAAAGGGCCATAAGGCCAGTTCACATGCAGAGTTATATAAAGGAAAGTAAACAGTACAGTGAACACAACCTAGCAAGTGTAAGCATGCAGGTATAAGTATATAGAGTACAGTACAAGCAGAGTCAAGAAGTCAACAAGTGAGGCACGGTAGGTACAAGGCCTAACACAGTACAGAAACGCTGATGATCACAAGGCTGAAGTGCCTTGGTGAAGACATCAGCAGTGTTGGCCTGAGAGGCCACGTAAGCAAGACGAAGCTGGCCACGCTGCTGCAACTCTTGAGCAAGGAAGTAGCGCAGAGCAATGTGCTTCGTTCTGTGCTCCAGTCTGTGCTCCTGACACAAGGCCAGCATGGCCTTGTTGTCGACGTACAGAACTGGAGGAGAACGAGGCGCCTCTCCCAAGTCGGTCAGCAGGTAGGTGAGCCAGCGAAGC